TTCCCTCCCCCTCCCCCAATGAGGTCCCCCTCCCTTGTCAGCCCAAAGAGCAATCAGGGTTCCCTGCCCTGTGGGACAAGGATGTCCACCACCTGATTTTCTGAGATTGGGTCTCTCACTGAACCTGGGGCTCAGCTACTTGGCTAGGCTGACTGGCCAGTGACCTCCAGGAACCTGCCTGTCTCTGCCTCCCCATGGCTGTGTTTACAGGTATATGTCATTCATGACTGGCTTTTCTGTGTGTGTTTGGGAGCCAAATGCAGGCGCTCATGCTTGTGTGGCAAGAACCTTACCTACTAAGCCATCTTCCCCGCCCTTAAAGATACTCTTATCTTTCCTTATTTTTAAAGTTTCTGTTGACTGAGTTTCTGTTGACTGACATCATGGCGTGAAATGACATGACTGACTCTAAAGGAATACGTTATGGAGGACAGTCCCTGGGTCCTGTCCTTAGGGAAGGTCACTGCATGCCCAGTTGCAAACAGGGGTCTGAACCTTTACCTCATTTCTAGAGTTCTGGTCTCAACTGCAGATAATTTGATTCCTAAGCAGAGCACTTGACAGGGACTGGAGACATTTAAAAGCATGTCTTATTGGGCTTTATTTATTTGTGTGTGTGTGTGTGTGTGTGTGTGTGTGTGTGCGCACATGCATATGCATGGCATGCTTGTAGTAGGTAGAGGACAACTTGTGGGAGCTGGTTCTCTCCTTCCTGTGTGGGTCCCGGGAACTGAACTCATATCACTGGCCTCCATGACAAGTACCTTTAGCTGCTACCATATCTTGCCAACTCGGGAGAGATTCCACACTGTCCTAACCTTGGTATTATATACAGTAGGTGGTATCAGTACCATGAAATATCCTACAATCTGTGGGGCGCTATCCCAAGAAACAATCACCCCACTCTCTAGACGCAGCAGTTCCAAGGCAGAGACTTCTACTGCGGAAGTTTGTAAGATCAAGATGTTGTCTGGACCAGGAGCAGGACACTTGTCACCGATCAAGGCCAGCTGTGTAACTTCAGAAACTCATTTTCTGGTATCAAAAACCTGATCAAACCCTGCTGGCTAGTTTTATGTTAACTTGACACAAGCAAGAGTCACCTAAAAGGAGGGAAAATGAAAAGGCCACCATAAGATCCAGCTGTAGGGCATTTAATTAATTAGTGATGGATGGGGGAAGGCTCAGCGTGTGGTGCCACCCCTGGGCTGGTGGTCCTGGCTTTTATAAGAAAGCAGGTGAGCAAGTCATGGGGAGCAAGCCAGTAAGCAGCACCCCTCCATGTCCTCTGCTCAGCTCCTGCTCCAGGTTCCTGCCTGGTTTGAGTTCCTGTCCTGACTTCCTTCAGTGATAAATTACAATGTGGAGGTGTAAGCCAAATAAACCCTTTCCTCCCCAAATTTGGAGCAGTAACAGAAACCCCGACGAAGACATAGACTTATATCAAAACTTACAGGAAACTGTAAATAAGCCTCCTTCCACTTTACTAAATTCTATGCGTTGGTAAATCCCAAGGGTAGAGATGATATTGTCTGCGTAGCTCATATATTACCCGTTGGCAAGGTACATGGGTCTCTGTTTACCAGGAAGTGCCTCTTGGAGCCTCCTGTCAGTGCAAGGGAAGTTTTGGGAGTGTTTAAGAATACCAAACCTCAGTGTGTGGGTGCACCCCTCGCGGTCCTGAGTTCCTTGCTTGTGCTCTCTCTCCTTCTGCTCCTGATTTGGACCTTGAGATTTCTGTCCGGTGTTCCAATGTGGGTCTCTGTCTCTCTCTCCTTTCCTCGCCTGATGAAGGTTAATATTCAGGAGGATGCCTATATGTTTTTCTTTTAGGCAGTTTGGATGCTCACCTTACTAGACCTGGATGGAGGTGGGTGGTCCTTGGACTTCCCACAGGGCAGGGAACCCTGATTACTCTTTGGGCTGACGAGGGAGGGGGACTTGATTGGGGGAGGGGGAGGGAAATGGAAGGCGGTGGCGGGGAAGAGACAAATCTTAAATAAATAAATAAATAAATAAATAAATGCAACAACAACAAAAAGAATACCAAACCTCTGAAAGTTTGACTTTTAACCTTTGATCTTGCCCTGAGACACTCCTTTGTGGGGGCAGAATGGGCTGAGCACCCAGGATGGGATGATTTCATTTGCATTTCCTGTGTGTGTGTGTGTGTGAAAGTATTGGCAGTCATATTGTCCTGCCCAGTTACCTCCTCTGCCTCTGCCTAGCGGCTTTTCGTTATCTGTATTGATTTTTTCCCCTCTAAGTTACTCTAATTTTGTTGGCTTGGGAGAGGGGGATTGGTTTGAACAAAATGTGTGAAGCAAAACTGTATGACAGGGATAATTAGCATGAAGATCGCTCGTGGGATGCTATACCTCACTGGCGGCTTTCTCAGTCTAGATAACAGTTCAGAAGAATGTGGTGTAGCAGGGATGGGGACATACGGAGTCCTGCGTGGGTACAGAGGACTGTACAGGCCAGTACTGCAGTGCCACAAGGAGTTTCTTTTTTATTTACCAGGTCAATTTTACATGTCTGCGGTGAGGGCCAGGGAATCCGTAGAGCCCTTTGTGTGTCCCTGTTCGCAATCCATTTCCTTTTCTCTGGCCTTGGCTCCAAGATTGGATGTCAGGGGTCTGGATGAGGGACGCGTCTACTATGTCTCTTACTCTTCACCTTTCCCCTCAATAATGGAGTTTGCCGTTGTGTACATTTTTGAACGCTGTAGTGAACTCATCAGGAAATATAGCCAGGCTGGAGGAAATGGCAAAGATAATTCCGTTATTGTGAAAAGAGACATTCTGCAGAGAGAATTGGGCCTTGAGGAAGTGTGATGGGTTTTTGCCAGGATCGGACTGTATCGCAAAGTCAGAAGCCTGTTCTGTGCTAAATCATAACCTATGACACCTTTGTTCGAACTTATCAATCCTGATGACCTTGGTAGGCACAACTAACGTGGGATGGGGTGTGAAACAGGAAGGGGTGGGGTTGTGAAACAGGAAGGGGAGAGTAAGTGAGTCCACACTTCCCCCAAATCTGATGCTTTGGGTTATGTTTGGCGCACTTCCCTCAATCCTTCGTCAGCCTTCCCTGACCATAACTAGAGGAGCTTCGATTTACACAGTGAGATGAACCTGGGTCCTGTCATTTCTTGTGTGAACTGCGGGCAGGTAGCATCTTTGGGTCTGGATGTCCCACCTCTACATTGAGAATAATACTTGGCATATGCCATGGTTGAAGGTTGCGAGACGTTTGTAAAAGCCTTACAAATGTACCTGATGTCGTGTGGGGGACTCGGAAAATGCTAGCTATCATTTCTTGTTGGGTTCATGTAGAACACAAGTGATCTCAGAATGGTATGGATTGGTTCAAATGCAGACCACTTCCTTTGAGGCAGAGGCTCTTACTGACCGGGAGCTGCCCAGGGATCTTCCTATCTCGGCCTGCTGGGATTTTAAAGATAGGATACCACATCCTGCATTTTTACATGGCCTGTAGGGATCAAACTCAAGTCTTCATGCTTAAGATGGAAGTGGCTTTACCAGCTGTGCCATCTCCCCAGTTTCCATCATTCGACAGTGATTAAGGTGATAGAAAAATCTAGGAAGGCACACAAATTTCGAGCTTAGGCGGCAGGGAGGAAGTTGCTGTTCAGGATGTCGTTTATTCATGACACATCAACTGTAAGGCCTCCCTGGGTACAGGTTTCTGTTTAGAGGATAGGCTTGGCTCACCTCCCCATGTGTCCCTGGGCCAGACCCGAGAGTTCCGTACTGGGCCAAAGCAATGGACTTCTAGCCGAGATAGCCCATGTACTCCTGATTGTCTTCCTTTGGTAATGAGTATAGAGTATGAAAGCTATTCGGGGTTAATTTTCCTTTCTCTTACAGGATGTTGAGGTTGGAAAGGTATCTGAGTAGAAAGATTGGGCCCTGTAGCATTTCTGCCTTTGCTTGGGAGGCGACTGTCTAAGGTACTGCCAGGAGGCAGGGAAGAGGAGGGGAGGAGAGGAAGAAGTGTAGGCTGAGGGGCAGGAGGAGGACAAAGGAGCCTTTAACTTCTCAAGCCCTCTTCTCCATCCTCATAAAGAGATTTCTCTGCTTTCCTATCAAGAGATCCGCCTGAGGCGTTCACCTGACGTGGATCTGCATTTCACTTCAGATTCGTTCTCATGACTATCTCTTACAAGGGAAATTTAGCCCCATAGAGTGTCAGTGTGCGCTGTGTCCCCGTTGGGGCCAGCTTGTAAACTGTGTTCCTCCCTGGCTCTGCCTGCACTGTCCCCAGGATCTTGTTCAGACATGTTTGTTTTCACATGTTTACTTGGTCTAGGGCCTGTGAGCTCTTTGGGGGTGTTGCAGTGGTTGCTATGTGCCCTGTGAGATCCCAGGGCCTTAGAAGGTCTTTAACCATGCTGAGCGTTTGTTTAATGCCTGATGTAGCCGCAGACGCTTCTTGCCTGTCTTCTGCTCTACATCAATAGTTTCTTCTTCTCCATGACTACCCGCTCCCCCTTTAGAACTGATGTTGACTGGAAAGCATGAAAAAAATCAAGGGATAGATGCTTGACAGCCAGCATAGACCTATGGGAGAATGTCACCATGAGGCAAGGCTTACTTGGTTGGGAGTTTTTATTTTTGCATTCTTTAATTGAGAGAGAGAGAGAGAGAGAGAGAGAGAGAGAGAGAGAGAGAGAGAGAGAGAACAGTGTTATCTTTTGTTTGTTTTGACATAAACTCGACTCCCCAGTCCATGCAGGAACATCCTCATGTTTGTGGAGGACTCTGCATCAGGACCTGAAACCGTCTCTGATCTGCGACATACAGCAATGTACGAATAAAAAGGAACTGAATTTGGCAAGCCCTTGAAAATCTTTTGATTTCAAATTGTCGCAGTGGGAGTAATTCTATTAGAACAGTAACTCCTATAAATTTGCCTCTGAAGTGGATTAAAGTATATTCATTTAGAAGTTTACAAGCTCACCCTGCATGGATTGGCTAGAAGAATAACTCTCGTAGAAGCAGCTATGTGGGAAGTGAGTGAAGCCCTAACTCCAGTGCCCTGCCTATCTTGGATGTTTCATGGCCTGTGACAGATGTGATGCTCCAGATGTTTTGGTGTAGTCAAGTTCTAGGAGTCCTTCCTTCTATCTGTAAGTTCCGGTGGAGCGAATAGTTCCATCACGGGAAAAGACCAGTTCCTTCACGGAAGTTCCATGGGGCTTGAAGGTTTGCATCTCAGCAGTAAAATATGCCCAGAGCACTGAGCTGGTGATCAAATGGCTTGGTTTTGTTTCCACTTTGGAGTGACAGCTTGATTGATGCTTTCCTCTGCAGGTGGACTTGACTTCACAGCATCCGCTTTGGTGTGTACATCCGGAGGACCACACGCTTCTCTTCTTGGAGCCGCTCAATGCCTGTGCGCACCCCAGACCCCAGCAAGGGAAGAAGGGAGAAGGTTCTCGGATGACAATGGACGTTCCACTGTGCAGGATGAGGGCAGAGTGTGTGACATCACCACCACGAGGGTAAGAGCTGTCTTTCTGCATCAGTTTCTCTGACGGTCGGTCATTGTCATGAGAGGAAGGGAAAGTATTTGACAGCGTAGTGAAAAAGCGGAAGTTCTTCCTCGCAGATGGGGAAGTTCTCATTGTAACATCTGATGGGCAGTTGAAATAAACAGGGGTCTGGAAAGGTTACATCAGCTTGTGATCATACCAAAAGCCAGATTTAGAAAGTTCTGGCGATGGTTCAAGGTGCTTGCCTGTCATGCACAAAGCCCTAGGTTGGATCTCTAGCACAGCATACAGATCCGGCATGGCGGCACACTCCTGTACTCCCAGCACTTGAGAGCAGAGGCAAGAAGATGAGAAGTTCAGTTATTGTTGGTGTTTAGAGAGTCAGAAGTCAGCCTGACCTACATGAGGCCCTACCTTAGTATCTTAAATCAGAAAAACAAAACAACAGCAAAAAACAAACAAATAAAACAACAACAAAAAAATCCCCAACTTAGTGTATTATACATATTCCTTCTCCCACGCACCACTTTTTTTTCTTAACATTTGCAGTTTTGGACTTGAAGAATGATCACTACTGCTCTTGCAGTAAGGGTCCTATTATGTCAAACTTAACATGGATGTCATAGAACTGGAATTGTCAGGAGACTGGCTCAGGTCACAGTGTGCCCAGAAACATATTTCTTTAGAGTTTTATAGTGTTTAAAGCCTAGTGGGTCAGCTCAGCTATCCTACATACAAATCAGAGTTTTTGTTTCTCCACGAACACTGATAAGTCTATCCTTGAATCCCCGCAAAGTACTGAGGTGCTGTGCAGTGTCTCCCTGTGTAACTGTGAAGAATGCCTTATAGTCCCCCAACTATCCATTTATTTGCTTGGCTTCACTGGTTGGCCATTGGAGCCTCCGAATTTCGCCAGGCCTGATCTAGATCTTTCTGCTATCACTCTTCCTGAGAACAGAAATAGCTCTTATGAATTCTTTCAAATAAAAATGAGTGTCTTTTACCAGACAAGGACAGGTCATTAACAAAAGAGGCTATCGTGTAGAGAGGACAGCCGAGTGCTGCGGACAGGCTAGATGTTCAGCGTTTGTGCAGAGGAAGGCTCGGGTACAGAAGGCGTGACACTACCGTGTGATAAACGCTCATATGAAGTGGACACAAAGACTGTTGAAGTTGACCAGAGCAAGAGAGTCCAGGGGGAGGGAGGAACTGGGAGCTTGACCCAGTCCATTCAAATTCTCTAAAACTCCCTGGAGTGTCAACTGTTATGACATCTGTATGAGTGTCCCTCCATGCAAGATGGCTCAGGTGGAGAAGTGATTCTCATATGCAGATTCTAGGCAATAATGTATGTACAAAATTACTTTTATGTACAATTCTGTTTTTACTATATTCATAAGGTTGGATGGCTCTCTTATCCAGAATGTTTTTATCACTCTTTAAAGAAATCCATACCCATTAACAATCCCAGTTCTCCTCCCTTCTTCCAGCTCCAAGTGACCAGCAATGCACTTCCTGTTTGTATGTGTTATTTGTCAGGGATGTTTCATATTTGATGATGCAATGTATTATGGCATTTCTATGGACAATGGACTATATACATGGCAGTATGTTTTAATGTCCTGACTGATTTAAAAATATAAAAATTAGCCATGAGCCGGCCGGTGGTGGTGCACGCTTTTAATCCCAGCACTTGGGATGCAGAGGCAGGCGGATCTCTGTGAGTTCGAGGCCAGCCTGGTCTACAAGAGCTAGTTCCAGGACAGAAACCAAAAAGCTACGGAGAAACCCTGTCTTGAAAAATCAAAAAAAAAAAAAAAGTTAGCCATACATTCAACTAAACCTGTATAGTCAAAATGTAGAATCCTTTTTATATGTTGTGCTGATTAGCTTTTATGTTAACGTGACACAAACTAGGGCCCTCATAGAGAAGGGACCCTTAGTTGAGAAAATGACTCTATAAGATCGCATGGTAAGCACATCTGCATGGTGTTAGTGATTGACATGGGAAGGTCCAGCCCATTGTGGGTGGTGCCATCCTGGGCTGGTGGTCCTGGGTTCTACAGAAAAACATGCTGAGTAAGACACAAGGAGCAATACAGTAAGCAGCACCCCTCCATAGTCTCTGCATCAGGTCATGCCTCTGGGTTCCTACACTCACGCTGCTTTTTACATGCACTGTTAGAAGCCATGTTCCTTTTGATCATAGTGTTTCATCACAGCAATGGAACCCTAACCAGGATTTGGTTTGCTAGTGATGTATTGATTATGTTTGCATCTGTATGCATAGGGACAAGGGTCTTGAGTTTTCTTCTCGTGTCTGTGTGTAGTCTTAGTCTGACAGGAGTACTGACTTTTATAGAGTTGGGGAAGGCATCTTCCTCTTCGTGGTTTTGGAAAAGTTTGCTCAAGAATCCATGCTAAGGAGGGATGGGACTCAACAGAGCTGTTGATGCTCAGCTTTTCTATGCAGAGTTGTAAAGTTGCCAATTAAGTATCTTACAAGCTCATTGAGATTTGCTTTCTCATCTTGAGTTATATTCTGGAAGTTGTCTATTTCTAGCAATTAACTTATTCTAGATCATAGGTTATCTAATGCGTGGCAATAAATTTGTTCACAGAATGCTCTCACCATTCTTCCCACTTCTAGGAGGCCAACAGTGAGCGGCATACCCTCTTCCACCGCTGGTTCTGCTAATTGGGGTTTTCTTCCTTTCCTTCTTGGTTAGTGTGGCTACAGATTAATCAGTTCTATTGATTTGGGAAAAACAATGTCCAGTTTTTGGCCTTCTGAATCTTCTGTATTCCTATTCTTATTTTGTTTCATTCATTTCAAGTGTAATCATCATTTTTTTATTTGTACTAATTTGTAATAAATTGGTCTTAACGTTCCTCTTTTCCTGTGGTTTTCAGGGAGAGAGTTCTTTATATAAGTTCGTTCTTTCTTTCTTTAAATATAGGTATATAAATCTGTATGCTCTTCCTAGTCACTGTTTTATAGCACCCTGTAATTCTGTTGATTTTTTTGTTTTGGTTTATTGCATTTTTTAAAAAAATTTCCCTTTAACTCATTGGTAGTGTTATTTCCACATTGAAAAATCATTACCAGATTTTCTTTTGTTATTGATGTATAATTGTATCACATTGTGATTAGTGTGCTTTTCTGTCTGTCCATTCATCCGTCCATCTGTCTGTCTATCTATCTATCTATCTATCTATCTATCTATCTATCTATCTATCTATCTATCTATCATCTATGCTATAATTTGAATCTTGAATGTCTTCAAATGACCATGGATATGTCAGATAGAGGCTGGGTCCTTGGTTATGGAACTATTGAGAGGTAATGTCCTTGTCAGGAAGTGAGATGGTGGTAGAATGGCAGTACACTGGAGTTGTGCTATTGATGAGGATATTATATTAACACCCCCCTCAGTTTGACTGGCTTTGTTTCCTGGTTGCCTTGAGGCTGACCCATGTCATCCCACAATGCTGTGCTGTCTGTCTCTCCATAGACAGACACCAGGGCCAAGTGATGGTGTACTGAAATGTTTGAAGTGGTGAGCTACACAAACCTGTTCTCTTTTTAAGTTGATTATTTCCAATACTTTGTCAGAGCGATGAGAGATGGCTAGTGCCCTTTAAAATCTATCCAGCAGGCTGTTCCATGACTTAGCTGCTGTGGTCTGTACTAGAGAGTTCTGTGAGAGAGAGAGAGAGAGAGAGAGAGAGAGAGAGAGAGAGAGAGA